ACTGAGCCGTTAATTTGTCTATCTCCTTTTGACTCTTCGAAGCGATCAACATATCGTCAACATACAAGAGAAGATAAATGAAAGATTTATCTTTGAGCTTTTGTAAATACACACAATGATCATATTTGCTTCTAGTGTATTTTTGCCTCCTCGTAAAGCTATCAAATCGCTTGTACCACTTCCTTGAAGATTGCTTCAATCCATATAGTGATTTGTTCAGCTTACAAACTCATTTCTCATAACCACCATCTTTGTATCCTTCTAGTTGAGTCATATAGATCTCCTCTTCTAAATCACCGTGCAAGAAAGTCGTCTTTACATCAAGTTGAGCTAACTCCAAATTCAACTGTGCTACCAAGGCCAACAATATTCTAATGGAGGAATGCTTCACAACAGGGGAAAATATTTCATTGTAGTTGATTCCCTCCTTTTGAGAGTAGCCTTTAGCTACCAACCGTACCTTGTAGCGAACATCTTTCTTTGCAAATACCCACTTGCATCCAATTACTCTTTTACCTTTCGATAATTGAGCCAGTTTCCAAGTGTTGTTCTTTTGGAGAGATTGCATTTCTTTATCCGTGGCAGTTTTCCATGGCAGTTTTCCACTTATCATTTTCCAAGCTATGTATTGCTTCTTTGTAAGTGATAGGAATATCATCATCAACAGCTGGAAGAGCATAGGCTACCATATCAACAAATCAAACAGGTCTACGAATTTCTCTTCTTGGCCTTGTAACTGCAAGTGGTTCTGGTGTCTCCAATGGTTCTTGGGTTTGAACCTCTTCATCTTCTGATTCTTCTATTGGAGTTGAAGAATCAACTGCATCAACTTCTGGGATCATCGTCTGCTGAAACTCCACCTATTTTGGAGTATGCTCCACCTGTTTTGGAGCATGCTCCACCTACTGTGGAGTATTACTTGTCTGTACAGCTTCATTTGTTACCTTCTTTACTAGGGCAGATTTATCAAAGATAACATCTCTGCTACAAATTATCTTCTTGGTGTCTAAACACCAAAGGTCACTTCACTCCATAGGTGATTCCCATAAAGAGAGCCTTCTTTGCTCTCGGATCAAGCTTGGATTCCATCACATGATAACAAGCAGTGGATCCAAATACATGTAAGGAATCATAATCAGTAGCAGGCTTTCCAGACCATACCTCCAATAGTGTTTTTCCTCCTATCGCTGATGACGGCAGACAATTGATGAGATGGCCAGCATATGTCACAACCTTAGCCCAAAATGCCTTGTCTAGCCCAGCATTAGACAACATACATCGAACTTTCTCCAATAATGTTTGATTCATACGCTCTGCCACCTCATTCTGTTGTGGTGTATTTCTAACAGTGAAGTGTCAAACAATACCATACTCATGGAAAACGTCAAAGAATGTGTCACTTTTATATTTCCCTCCATTGTCCGTCCTAAGACGTTTGATCTTTCTACCAGTCTGGTTCTCGATCATATTTTTCCATTTCAGGAAAATTCGAAGCACTTCATCTTTAGACTTCATCGGATACACCCAAACTCTTCTGGAAAAGTCATCTACAAAAGTTACAAAATAATGATTTCCTCCCAAAGACGATGTCTTTGAAGGACCCCATACATCTGAGTGAATATAATCCACAATGTCTTTTGTATTATGTATAGTGGTGCCAAACTTCACTCTCTTCTGCTTTCCCAAAACACAATGCTCGCAAAAGTTCAATTTGCAAACCTTTTCACCTTTCAACAATCCTTTCTTTGCCAGAATTTGCAAGGATTTTTCTCCAGCATGTCCCAACCGCATATGCCACAGTTGGGTTGCGTCCAAATCATCACCTCCGGAAGCTGCTGCAACTGCTCCAATAATTGTACTACCTTGATAGTAATACAAATTATTTTTCCTGATGCCCTTCATTATCACAAGTGCGCCATATGTGACTTTTAAAACTCCATCTCTCATAGTGACTACTGAGCCTTTGGATTCCAAGGCTCCCAACGAGATGAGATTTTTCTTCAAACTGGGCACGTATCGGACATCCGTCAGAACTCTGGTTGATCCATCTTGATTCTTCAATCGAATTGAACATATCCCAACAGTTTTACAGGCATTGTCATTGCCCATATAAACAACTCTTGCATTTAGTTCTACTAAATCGGAGAACCACTCCCGATTAGGGGACATATGATAGGTGCAACCCGAATCTAATATCCATTCATCTTAATGGAATTTTGTTGATGAAGCAACCAATTATATGCCAGAGTCATTTGCATCATGCTCTACAACACATGCATATGGAGAAGCTTTTCCTTTCTTCTTCAGCTTCGGACAATCTTTCTTCCAATGTCTTTTCTCATGACAAAAGGCACATTCATCTTTTCTCAATCTGGACTTCGACTTTGATCTCCCTCTCCACTTTAGCTTTTGATTTTTTGAGCGACCTCTTGTCACCATAGCCTCCGCTGCTTCGTACTTACTCTCCTTCTTGGTTTTCTTCCTGAGCTCATAACTATACAAAGCAGCAGTTACATCTTTAAGGGTAACATTATCCTTACCATGAAGTAGCGTTGTCTCAAGGTACTCAAATTCATCTGGAAGAGATGACAACAACATCAAGGTCAAATCTTCATCTTTGAAGGTTTCATCCATGCCCAATAAGTCTGCCACTAGCTCATTGAACGCAGTGATGTGTTCATTCATACTGGTGTCTGGTTGATAATCAAATCTGAACAATCTTTTCTTCATGTGGAGACGATTCTGAGAGCTTTTCTTTAGGAATTTTTCCTCCAATATTTTCCACATCTTACTTGCAGAAGTCTCGTTCTTGTAGCCATACTTCTGCTCCCTGGAAAGATAAGATCGAATCATGCTGCACGCCAAACGATTGATTATTCCCTCATTCTTTCTCCTCCATATATTCGGGCTTTTCTTCCTCAATGGCGATGTCTAGACCTTGTTGGAATAAAGTGTCTAACACATCGCCTTGCCACATGCCAAAATGACCGGATCCATCGAACAACTCCACCGAGAAATTTGCATTTGACATCATCCTCCTCACCGGTCCGGATGAAGAGCTTGATGTCTCAACTGATCCGTATTTTGGCATTTTAATTCTAACGAACAATATTCAATAGCACGAACTGTATCTTTTCAACAATGGAACCACCAGGATAACCTCAACCGAAGCTCTGATACCAATTGTTGGGGAAATCGGGTTATTTCCTACACGAACGTAGTATCAAAATTGACCTAAAATATCAAGATCAAAACCACCAAAGATTGCACAACGGATAAATCAGTCAAACTATTGGATATTGAAACACAATGGAAAAACCGAATAAAAATCAATAAAGGAGAGAACACACCAAATTTACTATGTTCGACGATAATATCGTCTACTCCTCGGGCATCACACCGGATGATAACTTCACTATATTGCCAATATTATAACAAATGAAATTCTTTAGAATTCCCAAAGTGGGAGAATGAAGAATACAAGAGGATGAGAGAACTTGTTTTTTGGATGATTTCTAATGAAATACTTAGGTCTATTTATAGTTGAGTTTTAAGGACTAAACTTATAAATAACCTAATATTTTAAGGATCAAACATGAAAAATAAGTTGGCCACCTACCAAAGAATTTTCCAATGTGTACAAGTTAGCCACCAAATATGAAATTCTCATGTTCAAAGTTTGACCACCAACCAAGATGAAATTCCAACTTGCCAACTTAATTTCAAGCCAAATCTAACACGCTGCACCGACACTTTTACCCGCACATCACTTTGAAACAAAGAGTTCTGATGGCAAAATCCTAGCTTTGATCTCATCGACAGCGGAGTTGCTGCAAACAACCCTGTGATAATCAAACCAGGCTAGCTCAAAGATTGTTATTAGCCAACAAAATATCGGATAACTAACGAGCATTTTTAATGTGAAATATATGTGTAGACGATGGTAGCTATTAACCATCTTTGGACAGAAGTTTGAAGCGAAATGCGAAGCTTAAAGATATCAACCTGATGGAAAGCAAGAGGATGCTTGTGCTTTCACTTGGCACTGGACTGCCTCCATGGACGCACCAAAGTATGATGCAGTTCAAGCCAATAATTGGAACATGATGGATTGTATCTTCCACAATAGAAACACTCCACTTCTTGATTTTTGTTGGCAAGCAAGCTCTGATATGGTCGATTTTCATGTATCCGCTCTTTTTCAAAGCAGCAGCTGCATAGAAAATTATATCCGCATTCAAGTATGATTTGATAGATTCGTTGAGAAATTCATTATATTGAGATCGTTTCATTCTTTAATCATATCCATATTATCAATTGTGTTCAGAATTTACAGAAGCTTTTGGAGATTGGAAACAAGCTCCTGAAGAAACGAGTTTCAAAGCTGAACTACGATACCGGCCAACTAGAGGAGGATGAGGGAGGGCCTATAAATGAAGAAGCCCTGCCCAAATTTGCCAGGAAACTCCATGAACAGCGAAAACATCGTCAAGGGGCCTAGGTGCTTGAAAGAAAATTGAAATTTTCCTTTGATAAACTTTTATCTCTGAATAAACTTGGGAGTTAGCTTTTTTCTGTGAATTAATTGAGATCCTGGGGGTTTCTTGTGAGGGATTATAGCAATATTACTCCCAATAGTGATTTATTGTTGGATATTTGAACATGTTTGATATGAGCATGTTTTTTTTTTTTTTTTTTTGCATACACTAAAGGCTGCAACAACATACACATCATACGATCAAAAGATAGAAACTTTTGTGCAGGAATCCATTAAAAACAATTGCACCTTATTTTTTTCCCCTAATACGGCCAGTTACTGGAACAACTCAAAAGACGAGGATACATGACAATGTAGAGAAAAAAAGTAACAAAATCGATCCTTCAAGTACAGGTTGTCTACATATCAAACTATAATTTACTAGAAAGTGAAAACTTAGATAATCAGAAAAGCAAATATAAAGGTAGTTCATAGTTGTTGTACCATAATTTTGGCTAAAGATCTACTGAAACATTCTAGAGTACGCCTTTTTCTCCTGGTCTCGTCTAGCAGCGATCTGCAGTAATTTTACGAATTCAGTTACCTCCAGGGATGAATTTAAAGGGAAGTGCAGGAAAGAGAGCATTATATATTTAACATCTTTTAATAAAAGAATAGATGATGAATCAACCTTCTTCCTCGCAGCTGCAAGTTCTTTCTTTATTCCGCCTGTAGGGAAGAAAACGCGGTGTAGATGAATGAGTACCAAGGACAATGCAAATAATCTAGGTTAACAATTATTCAACATTTAAGTTCCACACATTTCTATATGCAAATTAAATCGATGACTCAAAGCCTAAAAATCCCCTTTTAACCTCAAAAGAATAAAAGGGGAGGAAGAAAATGGAAGATTGTTTTCAAGGAGAGGAGAAAATATTGCACTAACCATCTTTTGGCTCCAAGTCCAATGCCTTTTTAAAGCTTTCTACTGCAGCATCAATGTCATTAAGTGCCATGTATGCCTGAAATCAGTTAAAAATCAAAGCACTTACAAAAGACATCCAATGTAAAACTACAATTCACCCATTTAAGAGTCTGAACAATTTGCATTTCAATACAAACACATAGCATGCATGCATCTTAGCCTAAGAATAAGAAACCAGACCTAACTGACAGAAACACACACAAATTCTGAAATTTTCAGTATATTTTAATATAAACATGCAAGGTTCAACCTTCAAATCAACTAGTAAAGTTCACGGGAACTACAAAATACGTGAGCTTGGGAAAGTTCCTATATAGTCAACCAAGAAAAAGAAATGGGGAACTTGGCTTTGTATATCAGAGATTGTTAGTTTTGACCTGGCCTTGGCGAAAGAAAGCTTTCACATTATCTTCTCCAACTCGAATTGCAAAGTCTGTGTCCAGCAATGCTCCTTTTAGATCGCCTAGTTTCAACTTGCAGGCCTAAAGCAGACAATAAAGACATACGAAAGGAAACGAACATCAATTTCGGGTAAACAATATGCAAAAGCGACGACAAGTAATGAAGTAGAGAAACTCCTTACTATCACATACTGCCAAACCAACCATTATAAAGCTGATTCCATTAATGAGAATCTAGAATAGGAGAAAGAAGATGGGAATGATCTAAATTTTCCATTCTAGATGCCTAAACATTTGAACCATAGATCACATAACATTTTAAAGGAATTCAAAATCTTACAGAACTGTTTGTAAATATCTGAGATTTGGTCTTCTGCAAAGATGAGCTCTTCGCTGCTCAATGAGAAATTAAAGAGGAAGAAAAAGGTTATCAGAAAAACAAAGGATTCATAGCAATAATATCACGATCATAAAAGAAAGTAACTAAGCTATGCACCTTCATCGATGCCCTCTTTCTCCCAACATACATCCAAGTAGCGCAAAGCCTTCCAATATTTTCTGAGAGCAACTTTATAGTCTTGTTTCTGTAGGACGGGACAGCTAGGAATATCAACTGAGTTGCACTTTAGCAGTAAATCAAACTTCCAAACAACAGATAATGATAATCAAAGGAATGCTGCATAGTTAGGCATTCATAATTCAAAGAAGTAGAAATTTTAATCATTCATTAATAGAGAATATGACATGTGCAATCCACAAAAAGGGAAAAGAAGGTGCAAATTATACCACAAATGACATTATAATGATATCAAATACCTTGTATTGCTCATTTCCAACTGCTTTGATCGAGTCCACTGCCTCCATCCACCAAGAAATTTCATCAGGCTTTTTGTCAAGGTCAGCCGGCCAATCAGGATAAATATCACCATCCTTAAAAAAGTTTGATATTCCATCATCTGCCCCTTCGGGAATTTCTCCACAATCTGCAATTATAACCTCTTGAGTGGGGTAATCACCATCCTTGGTAGCAACATGCTCAATCGAACGAACAACCCCCATTCCCTTTATAACTTTCCCAAAAACCACATGTTTTCCATCAAGATGCGGTGTTCGGTTAGTTGTAATAAAGAATTGAGATCCATTAGTATTAGGCCCCATATTAGCCATTGATAACATTCCTTTTCTTTCATGTTTTAACTCAAAATTTTCATCTTCAAATTTCAAGTCATAAATGGATTCTCCTCCAGTTCCATCACCAGCTGATATATCCCCACCTTGTATCATAAAACCTCTGATAATCCGATGAAATCGCATACCCTGTAAATTAACATTGTTTACATTTTTTTTTAAAAAAAAGCACTACACTGTTTCTGAAAAAAAAAGGCGATTTGGAAGTGCATAGTCATATCCAAGTGGTTAATGTCTAAATTGTAGAATTTAAAGAAAACTCATACATCTCGTAAAAAATGTCAAATTCTAAGGCGATCTGCGCCATGCTTGTGTGCTTATAAACTTAGGACCCCTAAAAATCGATCACACAAATGTAAAGGCAAGGTGGGGAGCAACACTAATTTCCTTTAAGAAATGAAATGAGGACTAAAAGCATGTAAACCGAGTGCATCCAACCATTCAACCCAAGTGAAATTTCTTACAATCAAGAAACCATCTGAATCATACCATAATTTGTTTGTTTTATTCTCAAATTTTGCATATTATGTTTACATGCAGTAACATTAGAAGCAAACTGCTTTGAACTATATATATTTATAAATCTTGATGCATACTGTTGCATCATTTTATCCCTTGTACATCAATTCTAAGCTAAAAGTCCTGAAGTTGGAGCCTATAAATATTCTAGCATTTCACTCCTAAATTAATTGTATTTTATATCATATGAATTATCACATAATACACAAAGTGCAAAGAAAAAAATGTAAGCTCTAACAATCAATCATTTATCTTAAGATCTGAGACTGCTTGTCAGTTAAATTTCATAACAGAAACGCAAAGGAAAAGGGGGCTTTACTTTACTCAAAGCAAACACCCTACCCTCCCCCAACTTTACCACCCACTAAACTCAAATCAAAGAATGCAAACACTTTTCGACAATCCAGGAAGAAAGAAAAGGAATAAACGTTAAACGAAACGTAGTCTCATGCATTTTCATATAAATGTTAATGTTGTTTAAAAGAAAGAGAGAAAAAGGTAAGAACCTTGTAATGCAGAGAAACACCAGTGTTGGGTCCAACGCCTTTCTCACCGGTGCACAAAGCCCTGAAATTTTCAGCAGTTTTGGGCACAACATCCTTATACAACTCTATTACTATCCTCCCTTCGAATTCTCCTCCTATACTTATGTCCATATAACATCTTGGGTTCACCATTTCCCCCCACTTCTATCTCTAGAAACTCTTTACTTCAACAACAAAAAATAAGAATAACCCAAAACAACCTTAATCCTACTTTTTCTTGTTTATTTAAGAAGAAGTGAGAGCTCCAAAAGAGGGGAAAAAAGATAAAAGAAGAAAAAAAGGGTCTTTCTGGCTTTGCCTGTTCGTTTGCCGTGTTGGTTTGTTTTGGCTGGCTGAAAGTGCTGACCCCACGGTACTGCAGCTGATCCTGCTACTGGTAGGTGCATTTAGGGTTGTCTGTTCAGTGACGGTACGTTTTAGCTGTTTCTGTTTTAAGGGTGGAGAGTGTGGCAATGTGTGGCTCGGTGGATGCTATGTTTTAGGTTTAGAACCGTCGGATAACTGTCTAGGGACCTTACATGACACAGATTTTGAGGTTAAAGAGAGGATGAGGGAGCTGTCCAAAATGACAGGATTTGGTTTGGCTTTGGAGCCGTACAATATCTCTTCTGATGGTACACCAGTACACTATCAGATCAGAGCCCGCCTGTCATTTGATTTTATACCGAGCGTATTTCATAATTCAGATGTCTCACATAAGTTACTCTCAACTTGATGTTAAAACAATCTATCATATCTCCTCTTATCTTATTACATATAGAAAAAAAAGATCAGCTAATTTATATTTGATGAAATCTGATAATAATGTTAGATAAAATTATCATCTTCTGTGTTAAATCATGACTAATTTTTAATTTTAAGAAATTATTATCAGTTATTGATAATTTTATAAAAATCATCATTATCACTTTAAAAGTTCAAGTCAATTTATTTTAGTGGTATGTCACTTACTTTAAAACTTTGGTTTTCTCCCCATTTTACGTGACAAATTGTTTCGAAACCTTGAAATCAATACCAGAGCAAGAGTTGATACATAAGTCAAATTCCATGAGAGCTTATTCCTCAACTCGTATAAAATTCACACCTTCCATTATCGACGAGGCAGGTTGTTTATTTTCTCATATTTTAGGGCATATGATTCAATGGTTGAACATAAATTTTGACGAACGGAACAGAGTAATTATGATGTTTGTTGGCTTGGTGGAAGTTAAAGATAAGGTAGTTGTAAAACTCTATCTACTGGAATATCATTTTCCACAAGCCATTCATTCCAAGACCAAAATTTACTCCGATCAGTAAATACTTTTGTATATTTCTAAAAGAAATTTTTCAAGAAACTGAACCAAGGTTTACAAGAAATTGAGCTACACTTCATGTGTAACCATGCTCCAAGTGAAGGATGATTACAATACTTGAATTCGATGAGTTTTGACTTGATCTTATAAAAATATTTTGTAAGAATCAAGTTTTAACGATTTTTATGAATGAGAGATTCAGAGTTGTCTTGTGCATGTGTTAGACTCCACCACCAGTCTATCATATTGGGCCAAGTCGGATAGAGATAGTTTTTAGTTTTTTACCATAAAATTTAAGATAATTTTAAGGTAAATTTTATGGTGAGTAGAACACGAGTAAACGCTAGGTCGAGTTGGAGTAGATGGAAGACTTTACATTTGAGATTTGGGTCAGGTAGCCAAAAAAAATAAACACAACAACCACCTACCCCACCATGTGTATATCTATCCCCACTCCAAGTATACAATTACTTGCTTCAAATGAAAAATAATATATCAAACAAACACAAACTAACCTAATATTCCCCAAACAAGGCAGTCCAGCAAAAAGGATAATTTCATACAGGTGAGGGCGACGCTGGAACGAGCTGGTTTTGTAACATCCTTTACCAAGTTTAATAATCTTATACAGTCAAGAGACGTTATGTTTTGAAATTAAAATAAAATAAAAATAAATTTAAATTTATTTATCAATTGAGAATATTTATGAATCAACTGTAATAATCATACAACAAGCAAGGAGAGAGAGAACTTAAAATATGGTCACCAAACCACAAAAAGAATAATATGTCAACTAGAGACCAAATTATAAATTTTCATAAGTTCGGAGACTAATTTGTAATTTGGCAAATTAAAAATATGCTAGGTCATTTAGTTGAACGGGACATCTTAGGTCCCTCATATGTACAACTCTCTATTAGATAGATAAGGTTATCTTTCTTCTCCATTCGAAAATATATATTTGCTAGGGCATAATTAAAATAATAATAAAAGTACAATAGCACCCATGTTATTTGAACCACCTTTAAAATTCGAAGTGCTCAATTAAAAGTTAAATGTTGTAGGCAGAGATCTTTAAAATATAGGGCAAAACTATAATTTTCAGAATTCCTTTAAGGCATTGATACCCATTGAATCAAAATGTAAATTTGATTCTTTTATAAGGATTTAGAACGATGTATTAATATAAAATGTATGTTGTCATCCTACTTAATAACCGATGATTAAAAGGAGAATAATATTATAATAATATTTCTTAATTTTTGACAATTTTCACATCTTATGTAGATATAATTGTTTGAACTTAAAATTTTAAGGAAGAAACACCACCACTAGTGAATTCATCAAATTAAAAAAATTTAATGAATGGAATCATTACTTGAGACCAGGGCGTTCCTCTTCTCCTTTAAATCATCCAATGGCCAATTTTCTAGCAAATTCTGTACATTTCTTAAGACCAGGGCATTCCTCTTCTCCTTTAAAAACAACAGGCACATCAACCTTCAACTCAGCTCCTTCATCAGATATCAGCCCAAACGAACACCATATTCAAGATCTTTCCAGTCTCATCGTCCCAGTGAATCTATAAAACAACCCAAAAAAAAGAAATTTTGAAGTTCAGTACAATCAAAGCTAATACACCCCGAAAAGTTAAAAGAAAAAAAAAACTTGCCTTGATGTGTAAAACTTTCCGGGATTCAAGGTCGATGACCGGGAACTGGCACCCATATGGACCACCTTTTACAGGTCGCGCCACAAGTCCACAACATTTAGGTTATTCTTTCTACGACGTAGGATGGAAATGGCGAGGGAAATTACGGCAATGAGCTGACTATTGTAACGGGTTTAAAGGATTTGGGCCGTGGCCGCGGTGAAAGCGATTTATCTGTCTTTTGCTTCAAATTTGTACATTTTTTTTTCTTCTAAATAGATAATCTAAACAATGTAAATCATTTATATGAGATGCGATGTTTTGACTACCTCATCCCTATCTCAAAGCACACATCAAATCTGTTTTGACGTTTGCTTTAGAGTAGTTCATGCCAGTCTTTTCACTTAATGGCGACGAAACAAGAAAATATGTACATCAAATCTTATAGAATATGGAAATTTTATGGGTGCTTGAGTTGGGTCTCCATTATTGAATACAAAAATCATGAAGTGAAATCCCCACTAATATCCAAATCTATCAACAATTTCCGAAAGCAATGATTGCAAACGAAGTCTATTAGGGTTGTTGAGAATGTTGGAGAAACCCAAATTTCAAGTACATTAGTTGTCATCAAGTCTTAACACAAATGAAAGAACTCTGTAGAAGATTGTTATTTTGGTTCATACAAATCCAACATTCATATCAGGAACTTGACCAATAGAGAAACTAACAGTTCATGGTATCTGCAAAAATATCTTTAAAATTCTCCCAAGTCACTGTAATTATGATCCGTTTCCCCATGTTATTGCAAAATTCATGGGAACAAGTTATCTGACTATACATCAAATATGGCCGTCTGATTTATCATCTTCTTCTGTGATGATGTCGCCTCCGGTGGTACTCGACGGGCCTTTAGCACGAGTGCCGGCAAGGAGGGGACCCTGTGGGGAACCAGACTGTGAAATGTTTTCTTTCATGTATTTATTATTGCACTGATTTTGAGCTGAATCTATAGGCTGTTTCCTTGACCAGTTGAAGAAGCCGGAAGCTTTCGGAAGTGAAGTCTGTATTTCTGCACATAACACCACATTCGTTGCACGAATTCAGTAAAACATAAAGAAGGTAACAAAACTACAATATGTTTGGATTTCATATGAAAATTGAACATTAACCTGTAAACGGCTTTTCACTTCATCATTGGTGAGACCCTCAACTTGCATCAGCTCTCTAATCTGTTTAGGAGTTGCCACTGTGAAACATCAACATACAAACGTTCTATCAATTCAACTTGACAAACTTTACTTCCAAAACTAAGTACATGAATCCATCAAATTTGATAACTCTATTTGCAAAGGGGCCGAACCTTTTGAACCTCCAAGTTATTGAAGAGCATCAACAAATAGTCTATGAAGCTCAGGTGACCAGCAGCGCCTTTGTTTCCTAGAATTCTACATATGCTGCAGCTGCTCATGTTGTTGATGCTTGGTCTGAAACTTAATTTGATTTTGGTCTGAATACCAGGAAGGGCAAAAACCAATTCCACAGCTGTCATTGCTCTTCAAAATTGACTTACAAGAACCCAATTTAGAACTTGGAAACACGAGAGAAAGTCCTAAATTTTCCTTATCCACTCGTCCCTTAAATCTTTTGTCATTACAAAGTTCAATTGGGTTCTCACGCAGATCTTCTTCACTTCTCTGTTAAATTTATGCCCCTTAAAAGATTAGTAATACTGTCCCATAAAATAAGATTAAAATCAGACATCTAGTTATTTACCAAAAACAATCAGACGGCTAGCTTGGGAATTACCAGATTCAGTGCTGGAACTTTGTTTGATTTCTTGCTGTGATCAACGTTGTCGGAATCATAGTTCCAGAGTTGAACAGAACTCATCCAGTTTTTCTTGTCACCGCCATCTTTTTCCCTATCTACACTTTCATTTTCCTCAGAATTCCTCTTCAATGGCAACATCAACTCTTCTGTCACTGATACATCCTCCATTTCCTTACACCGTATTTCTTCCTCCTTCAATGTCTCAATCACTAAAACCCCATAAAAATAATCAAATTAAATCACATAAAGAAAAAGAAAAATCAAAATTAAACACGAAAATCTAAAAAAAATACCATCTTTCAAGAGAAGCATGGAAAGAGGAAGTTCTCGTTTAAAGGCATCGATTTTCTTCATCTCATCTTCCAATCTTTTAACAAAATCACTAATCTTCAATAATCTTTGAAACCCGTTTTTGATCTTTGAAACCTCTTTCAGAAACTCGGAAATGCTTCCTGGTACATAAGCTAAACTCAACTCCATTAGTTCACCTTTTTCCTTCCATATGGACATGGTAAAGAGATTCAAGATTCGCTGCCTGTTTCACAAACGTATCGTCCCGGATTTTAAAGTTATAAGGCTAAAACCTCGGTACAGTAACTCAGCGATGTTTGTAAAGAATCTTTTAGGTTCCGTAAAGCCGATGCGGCGAATTGTTTAAATAAACTTCTTAGTTAAAATAGATTTTATATTTTGTGCTTTTTTGGAAATTAAATTACTTTGTAGACGTTGTAAAAATTGACCATAAACAGCAGAAACATTAATAGGGTATATTTCGTCGAAAATATGTTGG